AGCTGCACAATCTTATGGAGAGTGAGTGCATATTCCATTTTCCAATTTTCCGGCGTGCCTCGAAATTTCACGTTGACGAGTTCATAGCGGCGATTCAAGAGAAGGACGAAGAGACCCGACAAGAATTGGAGGAAGAACTCCTTCTGCTCCAAGAGAAGCTGAACCAGGTGCAAGCCGATGCAAATAAATTCAGTTCTCTAGGGTTGAGGGTAGTGGACCAGGGGACGCAAGATGTGGCAGACGAACAAGGATACGACAGAAGTGGTTTAGAGCCGGAGTTGAGAATGGAGAGCGAAGAGCAAGTGGATGGACAACGATGGGAACCGCCCACACTAGGAAAGGACGAAGAAGAAAGCTACACTCGCGAGATAGATATTGGCCATGCCAGGGAGCAGCGAGAACAGGTTACAAGCGGACATGGCAAAGAAATAGCCGAGAAACCGCTGCCAAAATTGTCAGAGTTTGACCGACAGAACGTGCGAGATATCCCGAGAAAGGAGCGAGAGAAGGTTCAAGTCAATTGGTCGCTGACGGGCGATGACTGGTCAGCTACGCATGGTGAAGTCGCCAGATATATTGGCGAGTACAGCATAAAGCGGAATCGCTACTCTCTCCGCTACAAGTGGAAGCTGGATTTCCAGAATACCACCAAAGGGCTTTTTCAATTCTTTGACGCGGCGGGCGTATGCTACGAAGTCGCCGCGTTTAACCCTGGCCACTTTCGCGTCTCATATTCCTCACCTCAGCCAAATATCCCATATTTCAGGTTCGTCCCTCTTAATCAACTCTCCGATAATAGGATTGCGAAGAAATTTGCCCGGATATGGAGACGCAAAAGTGCTTCTCCAGAGAAAGCGCAATGAGTGTGGTTTGGGAGTATCGAGGTCTGCGTGGGATATCCATATTTCTAGATAAAATCAGACAAGTATATATATCATGGAATAAGTTTGAAGCGAATTACATAGAAAGGTCAATGGAACAATACTATGAGGACGTAGGTGAGGCAGACATTGCATGAGATCTGTTATGCGACAATCAAACACAAGCACAAATAATACAACCCACCTGTTGCTCGAAAACCTCGTTGAGAACCTCATGCTCTGTCGCTTTTGCATTCCAGTAAATCTGCGCCTGTGGGGCACATCGAAAGGGGAATCGAGCCGTTTCACGGATCCTGAACCATCTTTTGATCAAGACAGAGTCAACTCGTGACCAAAAAACGAAAATTAAAAGGACTGGCTCCATCTGTCGAGGCCTTTTCCCTCGGATTCTGCCTCAAAAGCTGTCTGAACGCCATTTCCTTCGTTTTAGGGCAACTCGCCATCCTCAGCGTACTCTCACTAGCGTTGTCCTAGATTTGGTCGAGGCCGGTGCACCATTCGTCAAATTTTTGAATAATCTAGGATGTAATTGGTACCTCTATTGGTGGTGGTCGGGTGGATGCGCAGGGGCGCTCCTTCATTGAGTCTATGTGGTCTGGAGCTAGCACCACGGCCTACGCTCGCGTCTGAGAGATCTTCATGCCTCATCGTCATCCCGCTGGAGAGCTCCAAGCCGTACCACACACAATTGAAATAGCATCTTTTGGTCAAGTGAGTCAATGGGGGTATGACCGCCACAAACGCCTCGGAAATGTAGATTCAAGCCCACCACCAAAATATCTGGAGAAAAGAGGTGTGGAGGGCGGATAATCATCGATGAGGTTGAGAGTGTTGAATGGATGTAGCGTGTTTCACCCTGAATCCTTAATTCCATAAAGACGGGAGGGTGAAGCGGATTATTCTTGGAATAATAATGGCGAAGAAATTTTCACGAAGGTACAAAATTTGTGGGATGCGGCAAAGATGAAACAAGTTGAGTTTGTCTCCGACAGGGTCTTGAGGACTGGATCACGTTTGGAGACAAAGTCAGGTGCACATACGTCTTGTGATTAACCCTTAAGGACAGCCGGGAAAAAGATGGATGCGGTTCTCACACGAAGAACGCAAGAGAGACGAGAGACTATGACCGGAAGAGCCAAGAGGCAAAAGATGCTGACGATAGCATCCGACCCAAAGTGACCTCCAATCATCCAGGACAAGTCGCCGGTTTGCACCCCAATCACGGCGGCAAACACAAAGCACTTATTAATGCCTTCAAACTCCTCGTGCATAGAAGAATACTAGTCCGCCGATGACGAAGATTAGGTACGAAGGTATAGCGACACGTTTTGACCTCATTGTGACGGGTCATTGTCAGAACATTATTCTTCGAGGAAGGAAAGGCATTTGGACACAAGTAAAAATGGAAGCATAATTCACAGTTCTAACTTTGGAGGTTTTGGAGGTTTCGATTCTTTCACGCCATTGGATGCTATGTCTGTTATGGAGATTTCTTTTCGCACACCCTGGTACTCAGAAATACAGGAGACTCAAGCGTACCTCGTGTCCGTCCCTGATAGAAATGGTTTCTTGTCGCGAGAGGTGAGGAGTCATCCATCATAACAAAAAACGCCGCTATTCCCGAGACACTTTTGGTGAGCATTTTAACGTTCGCCCCAAAACCCTATGGAATTCAAGGCATTCGAAACAAGCCTCGTCATATCAATACGCGACAGTCGCGCAATGCCATGCGCAATCGTGTTCCCCAGCGTTCTGTCAAGAGGGAAGTCTCACCACGATCACTTTTCAGGGAGACTCCTTCCCAGATTCTATGTTGCCTCATATTCAAGCTTCGTTCAAGGGAATCCACAGGTGGTTGAGATTACCACAGAAAGCTTCAAGGCGGTGCAGAAGTCGGCGATCCTCACGCAAGTCTATGAATGGAGCGTGCAAGCGCTGGCGGTCCTTTCCTGTTTTACTTCTCCATGTGCCACTCTATGTGGCCCGAGTCTGGTGTATCCTGTGCATTCTATTTCACCTCTATTATTAGCTCTCATTCCTCCCCCAGAAGTTAACGTCATGTCCACTGCACTAAATATCTAAGGGTCGCGTTCTCTGGCCTCTTGCAAGAACTTGCTCGTCTCAACACTCATTTACGAATGCCACCGCCTTCCACATTTTAGCCACTACTTGTGCTTCAATTTTGGGGTTAGACGTCGGCGTTATTGCGAAGGTTGTATCACTCGAGGTAGAATTCGTGCACTCAGGCCCTATGAACGACAAAATCTGCGGAATCATGCAAAATTCGGATGGACGTCCGTCGTCTTGAAATTCACCCGGAAACCTTTATATACGAAGAGACTTCCCTCCGATCGTTCCTCACCTTGCCAGCAACGATGCGACCAACCACCCTCTTTACCCTAATCTTCCTCGCTGCTTCATCCGTCACAGCAGCACCTGGTTGTGGGTCTTCAAATTGATGAATCCTCACCTATCTGGAGTTGCCTTCTTGACAATGTCGCTGGGTTCTCTGACGAAAGTGGGCTCTTCCAATCAGCATTGTGCTTTTTCTCCCCCGGCAAAAAGGAGGAAAACCTCGTCGGCAAGGTCTATCATATACAATTTCATGCCACATGCAAGGATGAGGCAAAAATCATGATTGAAGATATTAAAAAGAAACAGTTCAAATTGAAAACTGGAAGAGATTGGCCTGACGAGTTCTCGTGGAAAGGCAATCCTTTCCTTCCATGCTTTTGGTAATGAGCTCACTCAGTCAGGTGGCTTCTACCTCACGTCTGAGCTAAAGCATGCGCAAGCGTATGCCCGAGCCTTTTACCCGGACGTTGCAAGGATCTAGGTGTATGGTGGTCATTGGTAAGTCCATCATCCTGCCGGCCCTCCATTTTCCATTTCTATGACTCCTCTTCAAGAGTCCGCTACCCGTCCGGATGTCAAAGATGACAGGTATGTCATTTATCATTCAATACACTTGCATAGCCTAACTGCTCGACATTAGAGTCCTGGAAGCATCGAAAAAAGATGAGGCTGCTAAGGGGTCAGCAGTAAGCATCACTACTCAGTTTAACTTTCCTTGTCACCTTGTTTTGAGTATATTATATAGTTCCGGAAGGAGCAAGAACTCATTGCGCAAGCGATCAAAGACAAAATCACAGGATCCAACAAACCGGTTCCGGTTCAAGACGCAGCATTCGATACGAAAGTACAGTCGATCTTGGGCGCGAATTCCTTGGCGAAATTCAACGCCATCCAGAATGTGGACTTCGTTATTGGGTTCGTCTCCTATGATCAGCGAGCTTTCAATTTTGAATTTCTTATTTCCTTCTTTGTCCAGATAGGCCGAATTTACGGAGACTCAGAAGAAATTGATACTGGATGCTGGAGTAAAGTACCCGGGACTTCCTGTGCTGGCAGAACCTATCGAGCAAGTCGTTGTTCTTACTGATGGTGGTTAGCTTCTCAGCTTCACATGACTGTAAAAATTCTCACTATCTTGATTCTGCTGGACATGGCACAGTTGCAGGCAGATGAAGACGATATCACCGATGTTCCCATTCAAGCTTGACGAGCTAATTTGGCTGGTCCGGTGTTCATTATTTGTTTAGCTTATCACTTGCCTCGCTTTAAACTGCGTCGATACATACAATAACTTACAAGTCATTAAAGAGGTAGTGGCGCGTTTAAAGAATCTAAGATAATTTTGCTGGCGTCGAACTCATTACCGGGCTTTGCAGCCTTAACAACGCAAATGGCCATCAACAAACCTTCGCCATACTTTCAATGCAATGGTGCTACTTCTCAATCAGTAGCCATGGAGTATGGTCGCACTTAAAGCCCTGGAATTGCCAAACTTGAAGTGAGAAGACCAAAGGGTACAGTGCGTGCGACACTTGCTCAAATCAAGCTAAGTTTTATTCTGTTAGAATGCAAAGTTTTACTATTTAGAACCTGGGCCCCACAACGGATCGAATGTTTCAGGGATGAACATGTTATCCCGATTGTCACTCTCTGGTACTGAGGAGGAAAAAAAATTAGCACCCATGGTACTCTCCAAAGCGGACTCCTTCCTATGTTGCCTGTCTGGCATTGGTACTAACCAAAAATGAGAAGATTCGACAAGGACTCCCAAGCGGTGATTCGAACTCCGGTTTCCTGCGTCGTTGGATAAAGGCGTACTCACCACTGTACTACTTGGGAAATGTGGGGAGTTAGTGGTCAAATAGGGGAAACAAGATGAGAGAACAAAAAACATCTCCCAAACGGAGAATCGAACTCCGGTCTCCTGCGACCGCCTGTCTCAATGACAGGCAGGTGTACTGGCCACTATACTATTTGGGATACGAAGGTGACGGCGCTGGTGCCGTCTTGAAGGTAAGTATCCAAGATAGTCAGCTCTGTGACACTCACTGACATTGGATACAGGAAAGCCTAGGACACGATACAACCATTAGCAAGTTTCTAGCTTTCATACCCACCTAAGACCAATGATTATGTCTGCACAACCTGGAAACCAAACATACCTTCGTTCACCACAATCACTCGGTCCTCAAACCTTGTTGAGCTGAGATTAATGTTGGCACAGCGATACAAGGCTCTTCATTGTATACATCGAAATGAGGAGTTTTTGACCTGATAACATAGACGTCCCTAAAAGTTTAAAAGGTTGAAGCCTTACACAGTGACCTCACGACCCATTTGGAGTCACGTACGATGCTACCGCCGCAGAGGAGTCATTAGCTCTTACTATTGCAGGAAGCTCCAGCTCAAGGTATTGCATGCAGCTAACACGAAGTCATCCAAATTGTTGTGAACGAACGTAGTAGAAATCCGTTCTGCGGTCTCACTACCATCCTCGCATTTAATTCAATCATATCATCATCCTGCGTTATTGAACCCAACACAACCTCGTTGCCGCAATCTAAAGCTTTTTCCTCGTACGTCGCCAAAATGATGAGAGCTTGCCGTGATGTCATTCACATCATAATCACTTTTTGATTCTGATGTTCATGGTTCAGAACCAAGAGCAGCTGCTGTGCCTCGCTTTATTGCTTCCTTACCACGATGCTGACTCTATCCATTACAGAAATTGCGCTGGCATCGACCACCCTCTTTCTTGCATATACCCTTGGACCTTGGTATCTCTCCAGAAAGCGTCGTTTCCGGATTACGACACCCCTGAACGGACCGCCGCGACTTCACCCAGTTTGGGGATGGACTCAAGCTATTCTGAAAAGCAACCACGTCGCTGAACTCTATGAAAATTGGATTCAAGAATTCGGAAACATTATAAGCGTGCCGGTTTTGCTTTGGAACCAGAAAATTGTCCTCGCCGATCCTAAAGCGGTCACCCATTTCTACGCAAATGACCCAGCCATCTACGCGCAGTCCTACCTCACGAAGGTGTTTCTGGACAGTATTGTACGCATATTCAACGTGTTGTTGTAATGCCTGATTTATTTGCGGTTAGCTAGGCGAAGGCAGTACGTGAACTAGTGGAGTACCAGCAGTCCAGTGACCGTTCTTCAACAGATATGCTTACTGCTGATGGATATCAGCACAAAAGGTATTTCCGTATCTTTTGCCTGTGACTTTCCTTACCCCATATCCAGACTTCGCAAGGCTCTGACCCCTGCTTTCAGTGTAGCAGCTATCACTCGACTAACTGAAGTATTCTATAATTCTGCGCACAAGGTTTGATATCTCTCACTCATATTCCGCTCTCATCTGTAATCCTTTAGGCCAAAACCCATTGGGAAACTATCCTTGAAGCCAACGGCGGCCCAGCAACCATAGAAGTTCAGGATTGGATGAACCGTATATCGTTTGTGCTCTATCGGACTGCTGACTATGTTCTTGACACGAGTACCATTTCCAGATTAGATAGCATCGGTCTCGCAGGTTTTGGCCACGAATTCAACTCCCTAGATGGCCAGCCATCTCCCGTCGTTGATTTATTCAGGGCAATGGGAAACCTTGATTTCAACTTTCTTGATTTTCTTGTTATACTTTTTAGCATACCTTTTCCAAGTTTCTATACCAGAGCACCGACTCGTCGAAACCAAGTGTTAAAGAGATTCCGACAAACAATGTCGGAAAGTGCGGAGGAACTACTCTCACAAACGAAACAAGACAAGAAAGCACTCGGGGAGGACTCTGCGGTGGAGAAAAGTATAATTGGGTTACTGAGTCTGTGGCCTTTCTTTCATCTTTTTTCCCTAGTAGCCTGACCCCACCTTGCAGTCAAAGCTGAGTTGACAGACGGTTCGCTAAGCATGACGAACGAAGAAGTGGCATCTCAGATGAACGTACTCCTCCTTGCTGGCTACGAAACAACTAGTATCAGTCTGACGTGGGCTCTCATCGAATTGGCCTTAAATCAGGACATTCAGACGCGGCTTCGTGAGGAGTTGCAGGGCTTCACTTCGGATCCCACATACGAGCAGCTCATGTCCACATCAGTGCTGCCAATTTTGGATAGCGTTGTTCATGAGACACTCAGGCTGCATTCCCCTCTGCAGGAAAGTAACCGAGTCGTTCGTACCTAATTTTTCCCCGAAGCGTAATACAGTGCTGATTAAAAGATACCCTTCTATTTTTCAGGCAAAGCAAGACGACATTCTACCTTTGTCTCAACCTTACAGAACGCCAAACGGGACGACTGTTGACCATCTTACCATTGCCAAAGGGTCTTACGTCACCACATCGATCACCATGATCAATCGTTCAAAGGAGTTTTGGGGCGAAGATGCCAAAGAGTTTAACCCTTCCCGCTGGCGATCCAACTCCTCAACTTCTTCGCCGCTTTCTCAGTTTATGGGACATAGGCATCTCATGACATTCTCTGATGGTCCCCGGATGTGCTTAGGCAAAAACTTCGCTCTGGCCGAGTTCAAGGCAACATTATTTGTCCTCATTAAACATTTTACTTTCGAATTTGAGAATGGAAAAGATGGAACTGAAATCGGGATTCATAATGGGATTGTGAAGCGACCAAAAATTGTTGATAAGGATGGAGCTGTTGTCCCTATGAACGTTAAGAGAGTATAAAGGAGGTCTTTGACACCCATTATGCCGAATCTGGAGCTCCATATATGATATATGACGGCATTAAAGACAATATGAGTTAGCGCGTCGAGGAATGCGTGTTACTTTGTTGAATAATGAATCAGTTTTGTAGAAAGAGTACATGTGTGAACGGCGGTAGACCTTGTTTGCCAATCAGATCCTTCCATGCTGATCCAAAAGCAACAAATCTTTAGATAGATGAATTACGAGATAATCTCGTTGTCACAGTGGAGCTCATTTGCTTGTTGAGAGTAGGCAGCTGGGAATCCACAAATACTTTGATGCAGAGGCATACAGTATGAAGTCTCTGCGCTTTAGGTGGGTTCGCTTCAAGAGGAGGTTTAAATCCCGATGGAATAGGAGAGCGAGCGTGTGAAATGTATGGAAAGGTAGTGACAAATTTCCGATCATTTGGTGGATCGTGACTGCCGTTCCAAATAAACTTGAACACCGTGAGCGTGGAGAAATGCGGATACCTGGGGTGCATGGGGGCAAAGTTGCTCTTCGTGCTGTCTTCGTTCTATCTATGTGTAGAGTGTACGACACCGAGGGTATTCTAGCCCCAAATCATACTTTGGCAAGAGCAGAGCAATTGAACAACGGGGCATGAACATTTTGGACTAGCCCTGTTGGCCTCAGGACCCTCATTATTGCTTCCAAGGATACCTTTTAAAACAGCGTTGACACCAGGGGGTAAATGAAGCCGGCGGTACCCTACGAGCTCTGTGGTCCAAATTATGCGATATAATACGGTAATTGAAGCATTTTCAACTGGATGTTCTGAAAGAACAGTTCAACTTGTCCAAGCAGTACACTTATACATAGAATTCGGATTTTCTTTAGTTAAAGGCATTGCCTCCTCACCCAGGTAGCCATATTGCGAGCGCTATAAGTGCCTTTTGACTCAAACCTTATCCTACATGTCTTTTCTCAATTTCACATGAAGTTATACCATAACCTTCGCCTATTGACCCACCACTATTGCTGCCATGCAAAAGTTAACGGTCTTGGGACTGACTCCGAGTATTTAGTGATCAATCATCGGTGATTATACATTGTGCTGAGTAGGTGATTGGAATGACATATCCTTCTTGTCTGGGTATGCATGATTGATCCACTCCATCATTTGTACTTTGAGATCTTCCATTACCATTGAACTTCTGCGGTGTTCCGAAGATACAGGACCACAGTACGGTATTTCAGATTACATAGTGCCGACGCGAGATCAATGCTTGCCCGGCAGACCGGGTTAAAGTTGAAGCTCAGCAGTCTCGCATAAGAGAACTTTTGCCATCCTACCGTGAGTTACCTTTTCGCCATGATTTCTCCTATGACTGTCTCAGTCCAAGACCTGATAACAAATAATCGAGATGTTTTGGATTTTGCCATTCTGGCGATTTTGGAAGTTTTTACGGGCTCTCTGAGTTATGGTAGGTAGTTGTACTTGTTTTAGGACTGTGTATGTTGAATATTTTGCTAAGGTCCTTTTCTGGTGTTGTCGATCGCAGCCCTACATCATTTGAGGCAAGGATGAGAACACTTTATTTACTCTTATCGAACATTCTCATTATTTTCCTTAGGAAACGTCGATCCTCGCCATGCTCACGTTCATCAAATTGGCTCTCAGTGATCATCCTGAGTCAAGCGTTTTTCGTTACGCTCCGAACTGCGTGCAGTGTGGGTATATTTATCTTGAATTTCAAAGATAGCCAGTATATTGTTCTGGATGACGGAAGCATCCAAGTCCTCTACGATGCTTTTCTTGCTAATATCGAACTTGGGTTGGGATGTGTCGCGGCGATGTCAGCGCGTGCTGTGGTTCGTGTATTTATCTATCTTATTTCTATTATGGCCACTGAGGGAATATATCTAGGAAGTCCTAGCCAGTGCAGTCCTCGTCTGGCGGGCTTGGACTCTTTATTCTGAGCTCTTCTGGATACGACATATCGTCACCTTTCTTTGGGCCATGGATTTTGGTTCGAAATCTCTCCTGTTGTCTGAGGATAAACTAACATCGGAATCAATTGCAGCTGTGGAAGTCTTTTACCTGGGAACATATATAGAAATGAACATCATCAAACACACCGTGACGGGCAAAAGTCCCGCATCATCGGAGCATCTTTCCCGCATAG